ATCCACTTTTTTCAAAGAAATGGAACAAATAATCCTAAAATTTGTATGGCACCAGAAAAGACCTTGAATGACCAGAGGAATGTTGAAAAAGAAAAACAAAGCTGGTGGCATCACAATTCCGGACTTCCAGCTCTATTACAAAGCTGTCATCATCAAGACAGTATGGTACTGGCACAAAAACAGACACATAGATCAGTGGAACAGAATAGAGAGCCTAGAAATGGACCCTCAACTCTATGGTCAACTAATCTTTGACAAAGCAGGAAAGAATGTCCAATGGAAAAAAGACAGTCTCTTCAACAAATGGTGTTGGGAAAATTGGACAGCCACATGCAGAAGAATGAAACTGGACCATTTCCTTACATCACACACAAAAATAGACTCAAAATGGTTGAAAGACCTCAATGTGAGACAGGAGTCCATCAACATCCTAAAGGAGAACACAGGCAGAAACCTCTTTGACCTCAGCCGCAGGAACTTCTTCCTAGAAACATCGCCAAAGGCAAGGGAAGCAAGGGTATAAATGAACTACTGGGACTTCATCAAGATAAAAAGCTTTTGCACAGCAAAAGAAACAGTCCACAAAACCAAAAGACAACCGACAGAAACGGAGGAAGTATTTACAAATGACATATCAGATAAAGGGCTAGTATCCAAAGTCTATAAAGAACTTATCAAACTCAACACCCAAAGAACAAATGATCCAATCAAGAGATGGGCAGAAGACATGAACAGACATTTTTCCAAAGAAGACATCCAATTGGCCAACAGACACATGAAAATGTTTTCAACATCGCTCGGCATGAGGGAAATCCAAATGAAAACCTCAATGAGATACCACCTCACACCAGTCAGAATGGCTAAAATTAACAAGTCACGAAATGACAGATGTTCGCAGGGATGAGGGAAAAGGGGAACCCTCCTACACTTTTGATGGGAATGCAAGCTGGTGCAGCCACTCTGGAAAACATTATGGAGGTTCTTCAAAAAGTTGAAAATAGAGCTACCATACGATCCAACAATCGCACTACTGAGTATTTACCCCAAAGATACAAATGTAGGGATCCGAAGGGGTACGTGCACTCTGATGTTTATAGCAGCAATGTCCACAATAGCCATACTGTGGAAAGAGCCAAGATGTCCATTGACAGAAGAATGGATAAAGAATAAGTGGTATATGTGTGTGTGTGTGTATATATATATATATATACACACACACACACAATGGAATATCATGCAGCCATCAAAAAGAATGAGATCTTGCCTTTGCAATGACGTGGATGGAACTGGAGGGTATTATGCTGAGCAAAATAAGTCAATCAGAGAAAGTCATGCATCATATGACCTCACTGATATGAGGAATTCTTAATCTCAGGAAACAAACTGAGGGTTGCTGGAGTGGGGGTGGGGTGGGAGGGATGGGGTGGCTGGGTGATAGACATTGGGGAGGGTATGTGCTATGGTGAGCGCTGTGAATTGTGCAAGACTGTTGAATCATAGATCTGTACCTCTGAAGCAAATAATACAGTATATGTTAAAAAAAAAAGTAGAAGAAGATAGCAGGAGGGGAATAATGAAGGGGGGTAAATCGGAGGGGGAGATGAACCATGAGAGATGATGGACTCTGAAAAACAAACTGAGCGTTCTAGGGGGGAGGGGGGTTGGAGGTTGGGTTAGCCTGGTGATGGGTATTAAAGAGGACACGTTCTGCATGAAGCACTGCGTGTTATATGCCAACAATGAATCATGGAACACTACATCAAAAACTAATGATGTAATGTATGGTGATTAACATAACAAAAAAAAAAACCTCAGGAGGAAAAAAAAAGACCGGACAAAATGTGTAGAGCAGCTTTATTCACAATAAGCCAAAACTAAAATAACTCAAATGTCCATCAACAGGAGGATGGAAAAACTCAGTGTAGTGTATATCATGTAAAGGAATACTGCTCTGCAATTTAAAGGAATAAACTTTTCATATATGTAACATGGATGAATAAAAAAAAATCACAGTGAAAAAATCCAGAAACACAAAAGCATATACTGTATAATGTGATTTGTATGAATTTCAAGCATAGGCAAGGCTGTCTATGGTAAATTAACAGCCCTTTGTGGGGGAGGGGCAGAGTGGATTGACTGGAAACTGGTACAGTGTAACCTATTACTGTGGTTGAAAATTCCTGTACTTCTGAAGGTTGGTTAGGTTAGGGTTAGAGACAAATAAATTTAGTTCTCTTTCATTTTCACTGGGAAGAGTTTATAGGACCCCAAAATAGCCATGATCTGAATACTCTAGTTCTCACTCCCTATGTATATTTACATGTCATAAGCAATTCAATACATTTAACCTTTTGGGAACAGATGGCATTTTTCCACTCTTTCACCTAAATCTGGTTCTGCTGGTGACAGACCTTTATCTCTCCGGGACAATCAAGAAATTTTCTAGACCAGGCTACATTTAGATTCAATTTTTGAAGTTTCTCATTAAAAATAACAACAACAACAACAACAAAAACATTGTCAGCATATGTTTTAATTTTTCTTTTGAGACTGTCTAATCTAATTATCTAAAAAAAAAACTAACAAGTCAAAAAGGTTGTTCTTTCTTGATATAACTAGTTTTTGAATTAAGGTTTCTGGATATATATATAAGGAAACCTAATAACTAATACTTCATCTTAACTAAGGTAAAATGGAGAACAGATTCCACAGAATCTGCCTTCACTTCAGGTGCCATGCACACATCCAGTCATTTCAATATCAATCTCAGTATCTCTGAGCCTTTTTTTTTTATCTTGTGATTCCTTTTTATTCTTTTAAAAATTTATTTTATTTGAGCATAGTTGTCAATGTTAAACTAGTTTCAGGTGTACAACATAATGATTGGACAAGCTTATACATTAAGCTTTGCCCCCAAGTATAGCTGCCATCAGTCACCATACAATGAATGGTATTATAGCACCAACTATATTTCCTATCCTGTGCCTGTTATTCCATGTGACTTATTTATTCCTTAACTGGCTTGTATGTTCCACTCCCCTTCACCCATTTTGCCCATCCCCTCAATCCTCCTCCCCTCTGACAGTATCAGTTTGTGTCCTGTATTTATAGGTCTGATTCTGCATTTTGTTTTAGATTCCACATATGTGTGAACTTTACGTAACAAGTACCCATTGTTAACATTGTGGAATGTCATGTATTCATGACATAAAAAGGGAGCTGGGTTTAGGCTTTCCTAAATAAAAAGTTCAGATCCTAATGTAGGGAGACATGGAGGACTTTATTTTTTAGGACAAAAATCTATTTTTATATTACCACTGGAAAAGGCTTTTTTTCCTTTAAAGGAGTAAACATATAACTGCATTTGTGGGTTTTTTTTCTTCTTAGTCTGAAAAAATTTAATCTTATTACAGAATACATCTGCCCTTACTCTTGCCTTTAACTATATCTCTGGTACATTTTAAAATGTATAATAAATTCTAAGGCTAAAGACTCTCAACAATGTGGTATCTCCTTCAGTTTCACTTGAAATGGAGCAAGTATTGCCTGAAGACATTTTATCCATTTGAGGAAGATGTCTTTTATCCCTAGTTTTCTGAGTTTTTAACTATGAATGTTATTTTTTCAAAAATTCTTCTGCATATCTTGAAATGATCAGATGAATTTTATTTGTTATTTGGAATGATTACATGGGTTGATTTACATATGTTAAACTAATTTTACATTCCAGAAAGTAAATCTCAATAACTATGATGTCTTTGCCATTTTATATTATGGTTCAGTAAGATTACTTAACAAGTTGTTAAGGAATTTTTGTGTCTGTGTTAATGCAAGGTATTGGTCTACAAAACTCATTTCTGGTAATGTCTTTAAGAAGTTTTGGTGTCAGGATTATTTATACTGGTCTCAAAAATGAGTTGAAACATCCTCCTCTTCCTTGTTTCTGAAAAATTTGTGTAGAGTTAGTATTTTTCCTTAATTTTTAAAAAAATTATTGGTAAAACTATCTGGGTCTGTGCTTTTCTTCCTCGGAAGGTTTTTGATAATGGACTCATTTTATTTAATAATTATGAGCCTAGTCACATATTTATTATTTAATCATGTGTCTGTTTTGCTAAATTAGTTTTACATGGAGCTCATCTATTTCACTTAAATAAATGCTGAATTTACTGCCATAAAGTTGTTAATAATATTCCCCATTATCCTTTAAAATCTATATAATTATAAAACTTGCATCAGTCCTGATAATGGTAATTTGTGTTTTCTCTTTATTTATCAGTCCTTCTAGGAGTTAATCAATTTTAATAATCTTTACAAAAAATCAAATTTGGGATTTTTTGCTCTAATTTATTTTCACTTTGATTCTGTCTTAAAGCTTTATTATTTATTCTAACTGAATTTATTTTGATATTTTCCTAATTTTAAAGCAAGGATTTAAAACACTGTTTTAGTGGCTCAGTTGGTTAAGTATCTGCCTTTGGCTCGGGTCATGATCTGGGGATCCTAGAATCAAACCCCACCTCGGGCTCCCTGCTCCGCTGGGAGTGTGCTTCTCCCTCTCTCTCTATCCCTACCCCCTGCTCGTCCTCTCTCTTTTTCTCAAATAAATAAGTAAAATAAAAAAAAAAAACTTTTAAATTTTTTTCTAATATAAGACATTAAAGTTATAAATTCTCCTCTGAACTTTTTGCAGTATTCCATAATTTTAAATACTATGTTATTGTTTAGTTGCTTTTTTATGTGTGAATTGTGATTTCTGTTTGACCATTCGTTATTTAGAAAGAACTATTTTAAAAAATATTTGTGTATTTTCTATATAATTTTGTTTTTGATTTCTAATTCAATTGTTTGGTGATTAAAGAACATGCCCTAGGGATTATGCAAGGAATTAATGGATCATGCCTATGTACAATTTTTTAAATCTCAAATTTAATAATATTGTTTCATGAACCTGAAATATTTCCTCTTTCAGAGTATTTAAAACAGAAATGTTCACAACTATGGTTGAACATCAAAATTCTTCAGGAATGTATAAATGTACATTGGCTAGATCCAAACCTAGAGATTTAGATATGGTGAGGCAAGTAATTTTAATGAATGTTCTCAGTTAAAAAACAACAACTATGTGGATGGAGCTAGAAAGTATTATGCTAAGTGAAATGAGTTACTCAGAGAAAGACAAATACCATTATGATTTCACTCATATGTGGAATTTAAGGAAAAAAAAAACAAGTAAAGGTTAAAAAAAAAAAGAGAGAGAGAAAGAGAGGCAAACCAAGAAACAGACACTTAACTACAGGGAACAAACTGATGGTTATCAGAGGTGAGATGGGTGGGGGAATGGGTTAAATAGGTGATGGGGATTAAGGAGGGCACTTGTAATGAGCACCGGGTGTTATATGGAAGTGTGGAATCATTATATTGTACACATGAAACTAATATTACACTGTATGTTAACTAACTGGAATTTAAACAAAAACTTTTTTTTAAAGATTTTATTTATTTATTTGACAGAGAGAGAGAGGGAGAGAGGGAACACAAGCAGGGGGAACGGGAGAGGGTGAAGCAGGCTTCCCGCTGAGCAGGTAGCCCAATGCAGGGCTCGATCCCAGGACGCTAGGACCATGACCTGAGCCGAAGGCAGATGCTTAACCAACTAAGCCACCGAGGCACCCCTTAAATAAAAACTTTTTAAAAAAACCACTGGACTAGACAACTTTTTAATCAATATATCCTAAATTTTATTCAATTAAAATCTTTTAATTTTTAAAAATTATTTATTTACTTGAGAGAGAAAGAAAGAGAAAATGAGTGGGAGGGTGGTCTGAGGGTTGAGCTGGGAGCCCAACACAGGGCTTGATGCCAGGATCCCAAGATCATGACCCCAGCGGAAATCAAGAGCCAGATGCTCAACCGACTGAGTCACCCAGACACTTCTATTTTTTTTTAAGATTTATTTATTCGTTTGAGAGAGAGAGAGAGGGCAGGGGCAGAGGGAAATGGAGATGGAGTTCTAAGCAGCCTCTGCACTGAGCGTGGAGCCCGATGTGGGGCTGGATCCCATGACCCTGAGATCACTACCTTAGCTGAAACCAAGAGTCGGGAGGCCTAACTGACAGTGCCACCCAGGTGCCCCAAAATCATTTAAATTTTTATAGAGTGACAAAAATGTGCCAAGTTTTGTGCTGGGAAATAGAGCCTAAATAATCAAGATATTTATTTTAATATACTATATTCCTCAATTTTTTTTCAACTTGAGTATAGTTGACTTACAATGTTACATTAATTTCAGGTGTACAACATAGTGATTAGACTTCTCTATACATTATGCTATGCTCATCACAAGTGTAGCTACCATTTGTCACCATACGACACTATTACAGTGTCATTGCCTATACTCCCTATGCTTTGCCTTTTATTCTCATGCCTTAGTCATTCCATAACTGCAAGCCTCTATCTTTCACTCCCCTTCACATAATTTGCACCCCCACTTCTCTCTATTTATGGATCTGGTTCTGCTTTTTGTTTGTTTATTCACTTGGGTTTTGTTTATTTAGATTCTACAATGTACTTCTTTCTTAATAATTATGTAATGTCAAAATAAGTAAAATACGATGTGAGCATGTGTGTTTGTATGTGTGTATAAGCCCAAAACTCACATGAGATCAACAATGGCTTTATTTCTGTAATGTAATAGGATGTTGTAAAATAATATTTCTCTATTAGATCTTAATATATGTCTCCATTACAAATAAATAAAATGGGATTATAAAATTCCTCTTTGTGAGAATAAACATGTTCACATAGTACTCAAACAAATGGAAACTTTTAAATGAAAAATACTTTACAACACAGTTTTGTCAGGTGTTCCTAAAGAACAAAACATTTAAAAAAATTAAAATCCGGGCGCCTGGGTGGCTCAGTCGTTAAGCGTCCGCCTTCGGCTCAGGTCATGATCCCAGGGGCCTGGGATCGAGTCCCGCATCAGGCTCCCTGCTCAGCAGGGAGCCTGCTTCCCCCTCTGCTTGTCTCTCTCTGTCTCTTCTGAATAAATAAATAAAATCTTTAAAAAAAAATAAAAAATTAAAAAATTAAAAAATTAAAATCCATATCAATACTTACAGTGCACACTGACACACACACACACTCTCATTCACAGACATACAAGTATGCCATTGAATGATTCGGACTTGCTTAATTCGAGAATATTTTGAGGATCTGATTTTGCTTAAGCAGTGCTTTTAAAGTGATGTCTTTGCTAAAATTCAATTGTAAGAGAATCTGGAGCATGAGATAGAGAAAAATAATTCAACCACGAATTCACAATTTTTAAAAAAGTCTATTTCAGATATGGCAATTTGGTAATTTTTAAAATGTTTCTATCTACTTTATGCTTAAGTTTGTGCTAAAAACACATTTACTCAACTCTATTTCTTCTAGGATTAAGTAATCTTACATAATAGTAGAGAACTGAGAATGCAAAATATTTCTCTAGTTGGCGATGGCAAGTGCTTACACATAATAATGATCATTAAATACAGTGATTTTATATAAATTAATTAAAACCTTTCCCTCTTATTTTAATAGCCAAAAAATAAGCTTTGGAACATATGATAATTACATTCCAGGTAAGAAAGAATTCAATATTTATTTTTGAAATATGATTAATTTTAGGATTATGATTACTTTTAAGGATAAATGATTATTATCCTCTATTCAAGGTGATAAAGCAGTAGCTCATGGAATATCATTAAAAATTAACTTTCTCATGGACTTGGCAACCACTTTCTAAAGATACTTTTTTAAAAATTTTTTATTGTTATATTAATCACCATACATTACATCATTAGTTTTTGACGTAGTATTCCATGATTCATTGTTTGTGCATAAGACCCAGTGTTCCATGCAGAACATGCCCTCTTTAATACCCATCACCAGTCTAACCCATCCTCCCACCTCCCTCCCTTCTAGAACCCTCAGTTTGTTTTTCAGAGTCCATTGTCTCTCATGGTTCGTCTCCCCCTCCGATTTCCCCCCTCTTCATTTTCCCCTTCCTGCTATCTTCTTCTTCTTCTTCTTCTTTTTTTTTCTTAACATATATTGCATTATTTGTTTCAGAGGTACAGATCTGTGATTCAACAGTCTTACACAATTCACAGCACTCACCATAGTACATACCCTCTCCAATGTCTATCACCCAGCCACCTCATCCCTCCCACCCACCCCCCACTCCAGCAACCCTCAGTTTGTTTCCTGAGATTAAGAATTCCTCATATCTGTGAGGTCATATGATACATGTCTTTCTCTGATTGACTTATTTCACTCAGCATAACATTCTCCAGTTCCATCCACATCGTTGCAAATGGCAAGAATTCATTCCTTTGGATGGCTGCATAATATTCCACTGTATATATATACCACATCTTCTTTATCCATTCATCTGTCAATGGACATCTTGGCTCTTTCCACAGTTTGGCTATTGTGGACATTGCTGCTATAAACATCGGGGTGCACGTACCCCTTCAGATCCCTACATTTGTATTAAAGATACTTTGTTTTTGAATCCAACAAAGTTTAAGCAAATATGTCCAGCAACATAAAGGTGTTATGTTAGAAATCATACATGTTAGAAATCATACAATCAGATAATCTTACAGTTGAAAAGTAGTGTAGAAACTGGATAAACAATTCACCCATGTCCACAATGACTTCTACTATATCCACCTTATAAATGGCCAAAAATTCACCAATCTGATGTTGAAGGACTTCATATACCAAACGATTTTCCCTCAAATATTGAGCTTAAATATGCCTTTCTGTATATTTTCTCATTGATCCTGACTTTTTTAGGAGATACACAAGAAAGTGTATTTTCTCTTACATGAAGTATTATACTGCACATGTTTAAATGAAATGAAAATCTCTCTCACTCCCATTGGTGTCCCAAACATCTTTAAACATATCTCTTATAGTTTCCAGGTAACCTTTCCCTCACAGTCACAATTCTGTAGGTACTCTTTATTTGTAGTTTACTTCATTAATATGCCACTTATCACAACAATGCAGTTCTTATGTGTATAACATTTACTCTTGTAGCTTGGAAAATTATTACTAACTAATGAACCTTAATCATTAGCATTTAGAATCAATCATATATTTACTGAATATTTTATAACAAGTACTATCTGTGCTAAGTACTTTGGAGGCTACAGAAGTCGTTATCATATTTTCTGATCTCAAAAGAGTTGTATTCTAATCAAAAGAATCTAAAGCAAAAGTCTAGACTGGGAAAGATAGAAGATTAAAAGAAAGCAGTCAAGATCTTTTTTGCATTTATATTACAGACCATATTAGTTTCACAATGACTGTATAGTTTTCTGTAAAACTGATCAAAATAGAAAATAAATTTTTATTTTATTTTCATATATTGATAGCCGAGAATTTCAAACATAACTAAATAAATGAAGCCATAATTTGTATCATCTGTTCATTCATGAAATCTATTATCTTACTGCCATTTAAGTTCTGATGAAATATTACTTACTCTAAAACATTTAATGTCTTCTTATTTTAGTCAGTGAATTAAGCAAAAAATCATGGAATCAGCAACACTTTGCCCTGGGATTTCCCAAACCACCAAGGCCAGGAAAAAAAAGGAGATCAAAACCATCCCAACTGCGAGACAATGCAATTCCTGTGAGTATTGGAAAGATCATATAATTTTACTAGTGCTAAACTTGTGAAATCATGTATAGTTATATGTGTTACAGATCAGCGCTGACCAATGGGATTTCTCTGATGATGGAAATATTTTATGTCTTTGCATTCCAATGTGGCTATTGAACATTTAAAATGAGGCTAGTGCAACTGAGGAATTGAATTTTACATCTCAATTCAATTCAATTCAATTCAATTCAATTCAATTCACTTGTGGCTTTTAAATACCATATTGGACAGCACAGTTAAAGGCAATTCAAATTCTACTACATGAAGGAAGTAGATCTGTTTTCTTTGCATTTCACTATATAAATATTGTTCCCTTATTTCATATTAACTATTTCTTTAGTAACCCCACACTATAGAAAATATGTGTCCAAGAAGCACAAAAATCTGGAGATCCTAATGCGACAGTTAGTATGAACATTCAGAAAATGTCCTCCAGCTGGGGAAACTCCCTCATTAGAATCATGGAATTATATTATACCTTGATAAAGTGCTTCCTCATTTTCTGTAATGTAGCATTCAGGATTCTAAATATTAGAAGATAAGTATTTCTCAATGTTTCTAGAGTCATCATGGGATATGAAATGTTTTTTAAAAAGTTTTACAAGATAAAAGTATCATTAACTCTTGTTTATTTTAGGGAGTATTTCCAATCAGTAGTGATCCTAGCTTATTCTGTCATCTCACACTCTGCCTTTCCTTTCTTTCTTTATTCTATTTATTTTTCCATTGTTTGTTAACATCACTTCCAAAGTTTGCTACTTTTCCAATTAAGATTTTGCAAATACTTGGTTAGGAGTTGAAAACAAAATGCATCATTCTGCACAAATTTATGTGCACCGAATGTTACAGCTTTTATCATTGTAGTTTCCTATCTGATAATATTCAATTTACATCTTGCTAAGTAAGAGTTTCAGGTTTTTACTTTTAACTACAGGTGGCATTCCAAATTCCAGAGACTTTGAATGTGATAATAGAGACCAGGATATGCCTGAACATGAAACTATTACATATTAGAGAACAATTAGTTTCTGTGTTAGCCTAGGAATGGAAAGTGCTCCATGCAGAACGTGCCCTCTAAGAATTCTTGAGAACATTGAGCGGGGGGGGGAAGCCCTCTCCAGAATCAGAAGAGAGATTCTGGTATGTCATTAGTCAGTGAGGTCTCTACCAATTTTAACATAATATCTTGAGGGAATTATGAAGATCCTCTAAATTGAAATAAGGCCCACAATGAGACATGACTATCCATTTGTCCAAAAAAGAATTAAACTGGAAAAGCAGAATAAACTATGGCATCTACAATCTATCCACTATTTATCAAAACCTAAAATCTTTTAATGGTTGAAGTTAAAATGCATTTGGTATGTGGTAATAAAAGCTGTGTAACATACAAATTGTTCATTATTATTCTAACCAATATTCCAGATATATGATTCAGACAAAATAAAAGAAGGTCCCAAACGACCGTTATGGATGCACAGTTCTTTAATGAGAATTTCTGAGAGACCGTCTGAATATTTAGCTGCCAGGAGGCAGCCTCAATATAAAGCAACCCATCGCCCAAAGGAAGATGCTAAAGTAGCAGATGTAGAAAAACGTTTATCTCCAGAAGCAGCTAAGAAAGGTAAAGAAGATAAGCAAGCAGACAAGAAGGACATATCAGAATCAGAAATAGAACCCAGAGTTTTAAAGGAGCCAAAAATAACTAAGAGAGAGCCAAAGAAAGATAAGGATATAGAAACAGGAACTAAAGATGAAAAAGAGGCAAAAACAGATGCCAAAAAAGAAAGAAAAGATTCAAACAAAGGCAAGGAGTCAGGTACAGAATCTGAAGATGAAAAGAAAGATGCCAAGAAAGAGAAGAAAGCTCCAAAGAAGGGCAAGGGGTCAGGTACAGAATCTGAAGACGAAAAGAAAGACACCAAGAAAGAGAAGAAAGCTTCAAAGAAGGACAAGGAGTCAGGTACAGAATCTGAAGATGAAAAGAAAGATGCCAAGAAAGAGAAGAAAGCTTCAAAGAAGAGCACAGTGTCTGCTACAGAATCTGAAGATGAAAAGAAAGATGCCAAGAAAGATGCCAAGAAAGACAAGAAAGCTTCAAAGAAGGGCAAGGAATCTGCTATAGAATCTGAAGATGAAAAGAAAGATGCCAAGAAAGATGCCAAAAAGGACAAGAAAGGTTCAAAGAGGGGCAAAGGGTCTACAGAATCTGAAGATGCAAAGAAGGATAAGGATGGGAAAAAAGATACAAAGAAACCAGGAGAGAATGATGATCAATCAAAAGACAAGAAAGATGCAAAGAGAAAGGGGAGTAAAAAAGGTAAGAAAGAAGAAAAGAAGGCCAGTGGGACAGATATTGAATCAAAGGATGATGCTAAGAAGGATGCCAAGAAGGATGCCAAGAAGGATGCCAAGAAGGATGCCAAGAAGGATGCCAAGAAGGGCAAGTAAGCCTTGAATAATAATTCAAAAGCACTTGATAAACAATTTTAGGAGTCTGAAACTGAATATAAGTGACAAGGGGATTCAAAGAATTAATCAAATAATTTTTAAAATGGGGCAAAGAAGAATACAAAGAAAGATTCAGAAAAGCATCATAAAAATATAAGAAAGTTATGAAAAATTAAGAAATAATTCATTGAAGGACTTGGAGGATACTTATGCTGAGTTTGGGGATATGAAAGATTCAATGAAAGATCCTTAGAAAGGTTCAAAGAAGAATATTCAATTCAGGTTGTAGAAATTAATGACACTGGATCTGTGGATACAAAAAAAATAATAATTAAATAAATAAAGGCTTAAAAAAAAAATCCAAGGAGGCAGATGTTCAATCTATAGAATCAAACAGTCTGAAGCTGCATCCACAGGAGTAATGAGAGGCAGTCAAAAAAATTTCAGAAACTGTACTTTCAAATAAATACAAATACAAATTAAAGGTAGTGTTCCTTAAAAAAGAAAGAAAGAGAAAGAAAGAAAGAAAGAAAGAAAGAAAGAAAGAAAGAAAGAAAGAAAGAAAGAAAGAAAAAGAAAGAAAGAAAAAGGAAAGGAAGGAAGGAAGAAAAAAGAAAGGAAGGAAGGAAGAAAATAAGAAAATACGATTTCCTTGTGAAACTATACCACCATCCCTGAAGTGTAAATAGCCACAACCAGGTTGATGGATGTTGAATGTTCCACTTCTGAGCCATGATAAACATACCGTGGTAAGTTAGTTTTGTTTTATATTAAGTCAAATTGGATTAAACAATAACTGAGTCAATTTAATTTTGAATTGAAATCTACCATTCTTATAAAAGTCTGTGTAATCTGCTGACTATGTTTTTACTGGAATTTGGCAGAATTTAGTAGCATTTACTTTGGGCTTTCTCATTAGTAAGAAATTACTGATGAATTTGGCAAGAATACCACAGAATGAAGACTTTAAAAGTATCAATGAAAAAGTTAAGTAGAATTATTTATCATAAGAGAGGAGACTGGCTTATGATACATGATAACTTTAACAATTACTTATCAAGAGGTTTTTTTTTTCTTCAAACAGAAAATAGTAGCCAACTTCTCTCCATTTAAGATAGGATGAAAATCAAAATTTTCCAAACTACCAACATACATAAATTTAAATAAGGCATATTAAAGAGATGCCTGATAAACTGCTTATACAAAACCAGATTCACCAAAATTCCAGAGTCTAACAGAGTGAAAGCATCTATATGTTATTTAGATGTGAAAACAAAAATTTTATATCTTTACAACTATATTAAACTCCCTTGTGATCCTTAAGTCCTATTAATGTGAAGAAAAATAAAGAGCAACATAAAGCAAAATGCAAAACTCTTCAAATATCCAACTAGTAGCAATTAAATCTCTTTAACATTCTCTCAGGTAAACTCAACATTGTTGCAGAACTTGCTAAGTGATTTTCTCTCCTTTTTATCCCTCCCAATATAAATTCTGGATGCAAAATAAAGCTTCTCCTTGATACTCCTAGTTCCACATGTTTTCAAGAACTAGCTTTCTATGAATAATGAGGTATTGTCTTACCTGCTCTTTAAACACTGGCCCCTGTTACCCTACATCATCTACTGAAGGATTCATGGCCATTTGTAACTTGTGGTCTTCCAGGTGGCCTTATCTTGCATATCTGAATCAACTGTAATGACGAAGAGTCAAATCCTGCCCCAATTTTCTCTCCCTCTTCCAAGAACTCATTCTTCCTCTCCCTCTGCTTATAAGTAAAATTCTATATTCAGATTTTCAAAATTTTCTGGAAATGTTAGCATCTCTCTGAGGATTTAGGGAATCATTTAAAATCCTCTATTCCTCTAAAATGAAGCCCTTATTTTCTAAAATGGTATTCAAAAATCATGTTTGAGATTAAAATTTAATACGTATAGTGTAAGAATAATTGAGCTCCTACCTTTACCATTCTACTGAAATGCATGAAGGTCCCCCAACCTCTTGAAGTTCCAGTTGCAGTGCCTTTTTATCCTAACCCCTCTCTTCTATGTATTTCTTTAAAATTATTCCATTCCATTCCCGTGGCTTTATACATCATTCATATTCTGTTGAAAGCTACATTTTAAATCCAGTACTGATTTTTCCACTCAGTTCCAAAATCATGTGTCCAAATATTAAGTTAAAGCATCTGCTTGACTGTCTTCTAGACATCTCAAAATTAACATGTCCCAAAGAAAACTCAATACTTCTCCACCCAAACCTATTTTCCCCAGGTTTTCACCAACTCAGTAAATGATGATGACATCTAACTTGTGATTCAATCAGAAATTGGTGGGTCATTCATAATTCTCCTTTCTTTTTATCTTTTTCACAAGGCTTATCTATTATTAAGTCCTGCCTGGCTACCACTAAAATATTTGAATTGGTCTACCTCACTCCATTTCTATCACTTCTACACTAGAAGTCTAATCAGCCATTATATTTCACTTGGAAATCCCAAAGCCCCCTAAATGCAGGGAAAGCCGCCTGCTTCATCTCTCACCACCACCCAACGTCCCATTCTCAACACAGAAATCATGTTCCTCTATTACTCTAAATCTTCTAGTGTACTGATGTTACATTTAACATAAGCTTTTCTTTGGCTCTAGCTTTAATAATGTGGCTTCTGACTACTTATCTGCCTTCATGTGGTAGCAAAATTGTCTACCATGCTCTTGTCACACTGGATTTCTTTCTATATTTACCTATACAGATCATAACAGTTTCAAGGCTTCAAACTTGTTTCTTCTGCCTATAACCCAGTTCTAGGACTTCATATTGCTAACTCCAAATTATTTATTTTCAGCTTAAATTTTGCCTTTCCAGACATAATTTATATTTAGAGCATTTTTAGGTTCACAGAAAAATTGATGAGAAGGTGCAGAGATTTCCCACTTATGGCATGTATAGCCACACATGCCTAGCTTTCCTCCCATTTGTCAACATCTGCCACCAGAGTAGTATATTTGTTACAATTAATAAGCCTGCATTGATGTATCATTATCACCCAAAACACATAATTTATATTAGGTTTCACTCTTGGTGGTATACATTCTATTTTTTTTAAATGTATGATGACATATATCAACTCTTACAGTATCATACAGAGTAATTTCATTGCCCTAAAAATCCTCTGTGCTTTACTGTTTCATTCTATCCTTCCCTTTTATGTCTGGCAACCACTGATCTTTTTACTGTCTCCAGAGTCATCTAGCTGAAATCATAGAATAGGCAGCTTTTCCAGGCAGACTTCTTTCATTTAGTTATATGCATTTAATAGTCCTCTACATCTTTTCATGTCTTGATAGCTCATTTCTTTTTAGCGCTGAATAATATTACATTGTCTAGATGTACCATAGATTATTTATCCATTCACCTACCAAAAGACACCTTAGTTGACTGTAAATTTTGGCAATAATGAATAAAGATGCTATAAACATTCATGTGCAGCTTTTTGCAAGGACATATGTTTTACTTATTTGAGAAAATACCATGGAGTGCAATGGCTGGATTATATGATAAGAATATGTTTAGTTGTCTGACAAGTATTTTATGCTTAAAAAATTGCTAAGAGGGGATCTTATGTTAAGTTTTTATCACACAAATGATGATAATACATTAAAAGGGTAGAGGGAAACTTTTGGAGGTTATGGATATCTTTATGGTATAGATTGTGGGGATGGTTTCACAGGTGTATATGTGTATACTTATCTCCAAAATCATCAGGTCATCAGGTTGCATACATTAAATTTGCACAGCTTTTTGATTGTGACATCATATGATTATAGGTATAGATATAGCACACACATATAAAGTAAACTTCTAAAACTGTCTTTTATAATGGCTCTACCATTTTGTATTCCCACTAGCAATGAATAAGAGTTCCTATAGCTCCATACCTTCCCCCAGCATTTTTTATTTAATTTTTATTGTTATGTTAATTCCCATACATTACATCATTAGTTTTTGATGTAGTGTTCCATGATTCATTGTTTGTGCATAAGACCCAGTGCTCCATGCAGAACCTGCCCTCTCTAATACCCATCACCAGGCTAACCCATCCCCCCACCCCCCTCCCCTCTAGAACCCTCAGTTTGTTTTTCAGAGTCCATCGTCTCTCATGGTTCAT